TGTGTTAGGTGACATAAAGCCTAAAAATGTGCAGTGTGGGGTTGCTAGAACTGTGATTGGGGACCACTGCACTCAAAGTCAAACTACACTACACTGCACTAAGTCAAAATGTTGAGAAAATAAGTCATTATTTCAAGATACTAAGTAAATAATTTTGACATCTTACTGCCAGAAACAGACTTTTTCTTACTGAGTCAGAATTGCTCACAAGGATGATGATAGAAACCAGACATCAGAATCACTAATTCGTCTAAAGCTATTACACAAAATGGTTTCAAATACACTGCCTGAGACATTGTTTAAAGATGGTTTTAAGAAAAAAAATGGCCTAGAGTGTATTTAAAATACACTGCTGCGTGTTGTAAGGCAAAGTGAGAAAACTTTTTTTTAGATATACCACTATTTTACCACTATTAACATTAGACATAAAACCTCAGGAAATGTGTGGGTTCAGTAGTGATTTTGGATAGTAAATAAAATGGCTATATTTGTGTTGTAGACATTGTGACCCCTGGTTCCTATCACCACCACTGTAAAGAAATTTGAGTTGGTAAGTTTTCCTGCAACACACCATTTCACATTAATCCACACTGAATGACTGTTTACATGCTAATCACTGAATTATTCTTAAATTTTGAAAAATCAGTAGAATTTCTCCTTACATTCTCTGATGCCCAAAGAGAAGAAACTGTTTCTCAAGGCTCATTATGACAATGTGTCATCTGCAAGAGGGAAGGGGTTAAAATAAAAGGTGTACCTGGTGAGAGATGAAATTGTGCAGGACAACAGGTGGGCTACAGTGTGTAATCATACACCTTTGTAGTGGACCTACATGGACTCATATGAAGGCCTCACACGCACCATCTGCTTTTGACCAATGCTAACTAGGCTCCGATCAAAGAGAGGTTGCTTACATCTTGCATCAACATGTGTTTTCGGTGATCAGACCATGTTCAGAGTTCACCTGACTGCATGAAAAAACAGGTGTAAACACCCCCAGGAGGCATTGTGATCAGATTAGGATGGGATCATTCAAACCACATTCAGAGTTGGTCAGATTTGGAGGTCTCACAAGTCAGGGATGGACCTTGACCACATTCAACACAAGTGTACATGGTATGCATTTTCTATGCGTTAGTCTTAACTTCGCTCTCGTGTCCAAAAAGTCCTCTGGACAGTAGTAGCACTGGCCACTGCAGGAATCAGCAGCTGCAAGACAAAGTAACAGGTGAGAAATCATGTTTGCAGTAGGTTACTGGTAGTTATCCAATATCTTTATATAGAAAAGTTATCTCAACTGCTCACATTTTAGTGAAAAGGGTACACGGAGTCCAGCCAAAGTATATCCAGATATCTCAATACAGAAGGTCTCAATACTATATTTAATGTGGCATGATTGTCATTTTACTAATACTTTTTTGTCACCTTTGTAAGCTATAGCTAAATGAGAATAATGTGTTGGCCAGATGGGTACAGGAACACAACTGAGGATATTAAAAGACAAAAAAAAATATATATATATATATATATATATATGTGTGTGTGTGTTGTTTACACCACTAATTCATTTTCATACAGTGTAAAACCACTTAATGCTTTATTTCATGTTAAAAAACAACACTGCCTCAAGTATCTTTAAAGTGAAAATGTACATCTTTATTTCATTATTGCAAAAACAGTGCTGTTGAATAACATATTAAGATTTAATAATAAAATGTGGACAGTTTATTCAGATAATAGACCCCATTCCATAATACTGATTTTCCTCATGTCATACTATTGATTTGTGCTACTGAGCTAGGCTAAAAATAGGCGCTCCCGCTGTGGCGAGTTTAACAGATGTCACGGCTGAGTCCAGTCGATTGACCCGGGGCAGAGGTCAGCCCACGGGTTACATAATTCACTGCAGGTTTTACAACTTTTCTAAGAGGAGACTGAGCTCATTTTACGAGAAAAACACACATATATGGACTTGCTAACAAAATAATCTGTCTCTGCGCGGGAAATCTTGACTAGGATTTGGAACGTTAGCTAGGCTGAGTGGCGCGAGGCGTGGTTCTAATCCTAACGGCTCCTGGTTACACTGTTGGTTCTGAGCGGCAGAGCACGAACTTAGCACAAGCTCGCCATGGCGAAGGTGGAAAGGATCTCGCAGAAGTTCTCCAACCCCCCGAAACCGGCCCAAATCGCGGACTCGGAGTCCGAGTCGGATCAGGAGGACGACAGTACTGCCAGCGCCGACGCTGGCTGGAGCCTCGCTGGCCGGGCGCAGGTCATCCACAGCGGCCACTTCATGGTCTCTTCCCCGCACAGCGACTCTCTGGCGCGGCGGCGGAGAAGCGGAGCTTCGGCGGATTACGACTTCGACACCGTGAGCAAACCGGGCTGCCACACGTACAGCTTCGGTCCCTTCAGCTCCAGGAGGCTCAGCATAGACCCCACACTCACACGGCTGTTCGAGTGCATGACTCTGGCGTACAGGTGAGAGCAAAGCGGCGCTGAGGGGGCTCACATCCGCCTGCACCGGCTAGTTCAGTGAAATTAGCCAATGGGAAGGTTCACTCGCCATTTTACTTTAGTAATTTTAAAGAAGAAACGTTTACGTCTTTTTTTTATTTAAAAAGAAAATATTCAACATTCTTAAAAAATGTGGTTCTTCAAGGGTTCTTTAGATGAGACACTGGTTCTATACAGCACCAAAAAGAGTTCTGCTATTGTTAAGATGTAACAGTAACAGTAGAAGAACCCTTTTTGTTGCTATATAGAACCATTTACAACACATCAATCAGAAAAAACAGTTCACCCTACAAAGGCCTATTTAAGCATGCAGTTGGATCTTTGAGTGTTCATGGTTCTATATGGAACCATCGTTTTTACTAAAGAACCCTTGAAGAACCATTTTTTAAAAAAGCAAATAAATGCTTGTCTTTTTATTTTATTTATTTAAAAGAAAATAGCCGTTAAAGTCATTCACTCAACTGTTTATTTAAAATGGAAATATTCACTCACATTTTTATTTACAATTTTTTTCAAAATTTATTTTGAAAGAAAATAGTCGATAAAACATTCATGTTCCTTTTTATTTTATTTATTGTAAAAGAAGATATTAATTCAAATTGAATTATTTATTTGACTTTTGTTTTGTTGAGAAAGCGGCCAATTAGACTGTTTACTCTTTAGGTCATTTAACTCTCCCTCAAAATGGCCTTGTGTAGTTGATGTTCTTGTCAGTGTAGCTTAAATCTTTAGTTTATTCCTGGAGTTTTGAGGCTTTTCAGGTTATGTTTGAATGTTGAATGAATAGTTTGATGTTACGTTTCTTTCTTTTATGAATTTGTGAGTGCTGAGGGTATTTAGTTGGGTTCAGTAATGACAACAGATACCAAATACTACCAGATACAATGTGGTTTTCTTTTCAAGAGCAGCAGCTCTGTGAAATGGCCGATAAAGTCCACACAGGGACTGAGATGGACTTTGGCAGCAGTTGGCAACTAGTCAGGCAAGGGTTACAGTGTAACTGAGGTCAGGATGTCTCTCTCTCTCTTTCTCTGTCTCTGTGTGTCTCTCTCTCTCTCTCTCTCTCTCTCCTGAGGCCCCTCATTCACTCAAGACTGTTTCGACACTTGGCCTGCTCCTCATGTTGTCTTAACGGTCTCACCTCTGTCCCATATACCCCTACCACTGTCTAAAAGCGAATCCCATACGGCTCTTAATTGCATATAGTGCACTGTTTGGGCACAGAAGCTGGTGCATGGCCTGTGTACTGTAGTGAAAGAGGCAGTAACAATTTGAGGTGTTTCGATTCGCTTCTGAAGGTCCCCTGCTCTCCCTTTTAGTGCCCTCCTTTATGAGTGACAGTGGAACCACGTTTACATGCAGTCTGATAATCCGTTAAAATCCGATTAATAGCTTGGAATAATAATTTGGGATAGAATACATCCATGTATACTCCTCAGTCGGAATAGACTAGTCTGATTGAGGCCATTCGGAATACAACTTCTATCCATGTGAACGAGATGGGTAATCCGGTAAATATTCTGTTAAATAGAGGAATAATAGCCATGTAAACGCCTGTATCTGATTACATCAGAGAACGTGTAGAGAGGAGAATTAAACCAGCTTTGATCACATTCCCAATCGGAAAGTTTAAGTACGTTCTGTGCATGTGCGTCGTGTCATAGCGAAAGTTTATAATGTTCAACATGGCGGAAGCCGAAACTGGTCTGCAGCTGTGAGGGCCGGTTCACGTCTCTGTCACCTACAGACACACAAACACAACCACATCTGATAAGAACGGACTGTGGGAGGAGCTACATGTCTGATGGAACATCAGTAGTATTGGAATGTCAATAGACTGTGAGGGTAAATCATGTGATTTTCAATAGAGCGACCAGTTTCCCATTTTCATCACCAACATCCAGTCAGAGCAACGCTGTCTCCAAGTGTTTTTCTGCTGCGTTTGTGTTGTTCCATCGATTGCCACAGAGAAAAATTTCAACACGTTTCCCCGTACTTAAAACAGAAAGCCTGCTAACTCAGAACATACTTGCCTGTGACGTGAACATGTTCGCTAGGGGGCAGCGTCCAAACGAGAATGTACAAAAAACGAAACTAAAAGTCTCTCGTTTCTTTCCCTTGTTTTGTTTAATATTTTTTAAGATGGGTGTTATAAATGTTGGTAACGTCTCACGTCTTCTGCCAACTGATCTTCAGGCTACTCCATTTGATTTTGCGCTAGTTCTAATCTGGGTCGAGAATTGGTGGTCTCGTCCCACCCCCAACGCTATCGAATGACCAATCACTGCTCAGATGCACAGCTCCACAGATTAGCATGATGCATAGCTAAGATTGTGGAGGTTGGATGTTGTGGCCTCTGCAGGCTACGCTTACCCATGAACATCTCAGAGCGGTGGATACTTTTACGAACATCTTTGTAGACGTATAATTCAGTCTTTTTAATAGAAAGCAAAGTGCAGTGGTTGAAAAATCCTGGAGTGCTTTTGTCAGTTTGACAAAGCTGTGATGTTTCATGAGTCTTTTTTTAATGTTCATTTTATGTTTCTTGTTCTTTGCTGATGTCTGTGGAGTTTTATTGATGCTGCCTCACCCATAAATAAAAGGAATTGTGCTATCACTTCTTATCATGTCATACAACAATTCAGCTGGCAGTTCCACCAGGCATTGATTTTCAACTTACAGCATTCCAAGCATAGGGCAACAACCCTGTCCCTGACTACCACGGAGAAAGGGCCTTTAGAAGTAGGCTACATAGTGACATCCGTTGTTATGTTTGGGTTTACAATGGCCTCCTCCCCCTTTTTGAGTTTGTGGCCGTGCTCTCTGGTGTAAGCAGCTATAAAACTGTTGTAATGACTTGGCATCAAAGCAGGCATTGACCAATATCGATCCTTAATGTAGATGCAGCCGAGAACTTTAGAAGTGTAGTCAGTGCTGCAGTTTTACAGCCATTATAAATCAAGATCATTTTCAATAGCCTAAGTGTTTTTGTTAATGAATTATGCACTCGTCCCCATTGTGGTCATGACTTTGATATCCTTGCACCGTATCTTAGCGGGAACATACACTAGGACCTTCATTGTTAGCTTTAGCTTTTCATTTCTTCTGCATCAATGAACCTTCTGAAGGGCTCTCTGAACTTGCAGGTTTCCCGACAGCCGGACGTGTCCTCATGGCTTCCCCATTTGCAGCTTCTCAGCTATCATCCTCCATGGAGTCCTAGCAACAAATCGAACTGAACACTGCCTCATTTCTTCAGCCCACGTCAGCTCCTGTGTGATTGTAGTAGAGGAACAGTAGAGGAAATGTTGCTGTGTCGAAAACATGTGGTCAGGTTGTGCTTAATTGCAGTCGTGTAATAGGTGGAAAAACTGCAGGTTTAGCACTTGAACATGGCTTGTTTTTCTTCATGCTCGAGAGCTCATCACCTCTATACGTCACTGGCAGTGCCACAGATAAGCCTTGGTTTTCAGGGATGACTAGTTGAAATGATAACCGAGGTTAAACTGGTTTAACAGACAGCTGAAAAAACTTAAATGTGTACAGTTTCCCCCTTTTCCCAAGTATACTGCATTGCCCAAGACACGTTTTGCATCTGAAGTTCTTGACTGTGCAAAAGTATGCGTCCACCCTTTATTTACTGAAATTTGAAGTGAAATGAAGTTATTAATTTTTCAGTTTTGGGAAGAAGCAGAAGCCATGTATTTAACAGAGAATTACACATATGCCTCAACAACTGAATATAGGGTCAATTTTTTCAACATTTAGGCTATGTTCACATTACAAGCCTCATTGCTCAAATCCGATTTTTTGCTCAGATCCGACCTCTCTGACATGATGGTTCATACATGTTTAGGTAAGTGAATCTGTCATTAATGTGAATGAAACGGTGTCCTGAAATGACCCGCATGCGCACATCTTAATCAGTAAGGTCATGTGAACGAATCGTGTGCCATGAACAGCAAACAAACTAACAAGCAGAACGAGTCTTCGCTGCGAACATAATTAACTCTGATCAGCTCTCAGAGGTTCATTATTATAGTGAGACGAAGGCGAAAAAGGTGAGATGTGTTGGTTTCCCACCATTTACAGGCTTTAACGTCTGTTTGCAGCTGCTGCCATGGTAAAGCTGAATGATGGCGCACGCACAGTGGAAAAAAAAGCACATGAGGTCTGATCTGAACGTTCACATTAAGGTTGCATGGCCACAAATCGGATACGTATCCGATCTAGGACCACATATGAAAGGGGCTCAGGTCGGATTTGAAAAGATCAGATTTGCGTGTCCACACAGCCCTGAAAACATCAAATCTGAGTCACATTAGGGCAAAAAATCAGATTTGTGCCACTTGAACCTGGTAATGTGAATGTAGCCTTATTGTGCCCACCCATTGCCTTTAATGCAGCTTTCATTTTTTTCAGGAGACTTGCATTCAGTTTTTCGTAGAAAACCGCGTTGATGTTTTTCCACACTTCCAAAGTTCAGTCTTAGAAGTTGGTTTCATTTTCTTCTCATTCAAGTAATCCAAACACATTCAGTGATGTTGAGGTCTGGACTCTGGGATGGACAGTCCGTTATTATGAGAACACTGGCAGCTTTGTTCCTTGATTTGCGAATTTCTTTTCTCAGTAAGAGCTTCTTGACTACACATCCATCAGACCCTCAGCGCTGAAGTTGAAAAAAATGGGAAGGAATGCTTGTGGATTTATTTCCAGATCTGAAACAAAAGTGGACCTTGATTGTCACCTTTGTCTCAGGATGAAAGCTTTAAGTACTATTTATCTGAGGGGGTGGGGGGTAGTTTTGGTGGTCTACCAGGTCTTGCACAGTTGTTAGGTGTCCCATTTTCTCTATATTTTGTTCATAATTTTTTGAACTCCAGTTTTTGGAATCTTCTGTTTATTCACTTAAATTGCTTTGACTTTCCCTTTTCCTTATGCACGTGAATTATCTTACATTTAATCTCCTCAGAAATAACTCCTGAAAAATGGATGACTTGTACTTTAGGCCCAATTTGACTTGAAATTAAATAATAAAGGGAAGTCTCTGACTTTTGCTCAATATTGTGGTCTTCTGTTATATTAGCCTCGTGGCTTCGGAGCCAAACTAAAGAAGCAAACTTTGGACACCAAACATGTTTCATAATATTTTATCTATCACCTACATTTGGAATTCGGCGAAAAAGGTGTACATCTGATTTTTTCGGGGAACCATGGCTTTAATTCAATCAAGCTGGTCTGATATGACACAAATCCATCACTGCTACACGTGATTGGCAGTGCTTGTTTTGGGGTGTGTTTTGAGTCTTCTGAACAATCTCAGATGCTCCAGATGAGTGTTTTATGGGAGTTTGGCTGAATCAAGACCTTCTTATTATCCAACAAATATACATAATTTTGGTGAGAATAGTACAGAGCAATCCTTAGCCACACTGCTGATACAAACAACTATACATGTGCCAACTTCCAAATATATTAAAGATGCAATGCAAATCAAACACATATGCAATGGTAAAAAAATAACCCAGCAGTATATAACAGCTTGTTACTATGCATAAACTGTTTAGTAACAAGTCACTGATTGGATGTCAGCCCATTACCCCATTTCCTTTTATTTCTTCATTTTTTATCAGTGACCTTCTGAAGGAGCTTAGTTTTGTGAATGTGAATTAAATGAATGTCAAAACATGGATAATGGATTAATCACTGTTTTCATAGGCTTTTTTAAATGTGACGCTATTGCTTGTGTATTTTGTCCGTTCTGACTTGGTTGCAGTCCTCAATGTCATGATACATATAGTCATGTCCATAAATATTTGGACTTCAACAAAGTTGTTATTTTAGCTGTTTATCTTAGCATATTAGAGTTCATTTGAGCTTTAAGTGCAGACTTGCAGCTTTGATTTAAAGGTATTTACATCCAAGTTGGGTGAACAGTGTAGGAATTAATATCATTTTCATACATAGCTCCCCATTTTTAGGGGCTCAAAGGTATTTGGCACATTGGCTGCTCAGCTGTTCCGTGGCCAGGTGTGTGTTATTGCCTCGTTTATAGAGTTGATTTTAAGTGTGCATTTGGAGTCTTGCGCTGAAATTTTTAAACAAACCCATCAGAAACATTAAGTGTGACCAAAGTCACTATTTGGTACATTCTTAAACAGAAAGAATGCAGCTCCCAATGGAACTGCTTCCCTTTTATTCATTGATGAAGTGACTACTAACAAAAGCTTCAAGATAAATTCTGAAGATGCTGCCAAAATGCTTCAAAACTAATTGGACAGCACATCAGAGAGCAGATGGACAATGGCCCAAAGCATACTGTGAAAGCAACCTAAGAGTATTTAAGGCAAAGAAGTGGAATTGTTCTGTAATGGCCAAGTAAATCACACCTCAATCCAACTGAGCATACGTATCACTTACTGAAGGCACAGCCAATGGTAAAATACCCCATGAGGAAGCAGGAACAAGCAGGAACTGAAAGGCCTGGAAGAGCATGACCAGGAAAGAAACTCAGCGTCTGGTGTTGTCTATGGGTTCCAGACTGCAAAGGACTTGCAACCAAGTATTAATAATAACAGCTTAATTTATGATGTTTAGTTTGTCCATTTACTTTTGAGCCCCTTAAAATGGAGGGGTGTCCTACATCGTTCACCCAGTTGGGATATAAACACCTTGAAAGTGCACTTTGAGCTCATATTCATTATTTAATTTCAACTCCAATATGCTGTGGTAGACAGCAATAACTTTGTCAGTGTCTAAATCTTTATGGACTTGACTGTATAGTGTAACAAGAAAATGTCTTCGAGTATTAAGATGTTATATTGATGCCATATTGTTAATCCTTTCCATATCATACTCACAATCTGCAGCAATATAATCACAAAGTGGGATTTTCTTTGTATTGTACAGCCCTAAACTGAACAACAATAAAATGAATCATATTTTACTGAACTCAGTTGAACAACACTGAGTAAAAATCAGTTGAGCCAAATTTGTGTGTCTCTCTGCAGTGGGAAGATAGTATCTCCTAAGTGGAAGTCTTTCAAAGGCCTGAGGCTGCTGTGGAGGGATAAAATCCGTCTGAATAATGGCATCTGGAGAGCCTGGTTCATTCAGTGTAAGATCCTGTAGTCTGTGAAAGTACCAGATTTGTGTTTAAGAGCTTGAATGTTGAAAGAAAAAAGAGAAAGAAACAAAAGAATGATAGAAAAACAGGAAATTAAAGACTAGCTTAAGTGTCCTTGCGCTTGATAATTATAATAGCTACCAAGATTTTGTGCCTCGGTGTTTATAATAATGTTATGCACAGCAACATTGATTCTTATTTCTGTGTATTGTATATATTAAGACTAACTTATGCATTTTGGGATATAAAATATTCTTAAAAAGCTTTCACATGCTTTACTATGAAAGAAAACTAATTGTTAAAATCCTTTAGATGTGGAGAAAAGGAAAAATCCAGTGTGTGGGTTTGTCACTCCGTTGGAGGGGTCAGAGGCAGACGCTCATCGCAAACCTGAGGTGGGTCATACTGACTATACTTGCCAGATTACTTACTTACCTACATGGTGCTCATTGGCCATTTAACAGAAATATCTACCACAAATGTGCTCTTTGTAGGTTTACAGCTTTGGGCAGCAAAATGAACATGAATTAAGTTTATTTTTATTTAATTATTAATTATTTATTATTTAATTTAAAGCATATTATAAACACTTTTGTCAAGATAGACAGTCTAGACTTGTTTCAGAGGAACCAAATATAGTGTTTGGTTGCCAAAATGTGTATTACTATCAGAGCAGGTGTTTAAACAAGCATGCAATGCTATAACGTTACCCACTATGCTATATAAATACTGTGGGCTGGTATAAATCGCAGTTTTTCTGGTAACAAAAGCATAGGTTAGCAAGTTAATACAATTTACTTCCAACATTATGTTTGGTTGTTGTTTGAAATAACCACATTATGAAACATAACACTTTCTTAAAGGGATTATCAGTGCTTTATTGACAGGATTTCCGAGAAGGGTCTGGCTGCAGGCATGCAATCTCAGCCTGACGTGCACTGCCAGCTTATTATTGACGTCAGTACACTCTCTGCAGTGACAATGTTTTGTTGGTCTGATGAGCAAAAACAACAAACCACACACTCTTGGGCTACATGAGTTACATTGATTGGATTTTAGCTTTGTCATACTGATAATAGTGGAATTAAATATGGTAATTTACAAAATAAAACCTACCACAACAATAAGATATGCTCAGGTTTATTAGCAGAACAAGCAAACAGGCTACTGCTGAAACTCATGAAAAATACATTAAATGGAATTCTGTAGCTGTTTTATGTACGGAAAATGGATTAAGTGATGATATGGTTATTGAGGTAAGAATGGAAAACCATGATGATGATACTGTTTTAAGATCCCTCTCAACTTGCTAAGCAGAAGCAGCCATATGTTAACGTGCTGTTGGGCCGCTTCTGCCATTGTGGCAGAGGGTGCATGTGCACGTGACGTCACTGGGGCTGAGAGTGCATCGGGTGGAGAGTGCATGTCTGCAGCTAGAATCTGTTGGGATTTCCAAGATTCCTGTGATGATGCGTGGATCCACGACTGTTTGGAGTTACGGAAGTGACTGGATGGCCGCCTTAGAGAGAGAATAGAATCCTCTAGATCAAATGTCACTAATAGGCGGACCACGGTCCGAGTCCGGACCCAGATGCTGTGCTATGCGGACCTGGACCTATAACCAATAAACTATGGTGAATTATTTAGTTTCGACAGGGTGGTCCTATTTTAATCGGCGTAACTTTTCTAGCCTTTACAGTACCGCTTTAGCAGCCCGGGAGACTCACAGACCAGTCGCATGCGTTGTAAATATCACACGTGGCGCTGCTCAGCCAATCAGATCTGTGCATTACGATGAGCACCGAGACTCGAGCGAGTGACGCACACACAGGGGAGGGATGAGGGGAGAAATAGCAGTCAGATAAGAAAGTGAGTCAGAGGGAAGTCATTTCACATGATGTGTTCTAAAAAGAGAAAACTGACAATAAAGTATATGGCACTGAATCATGATGCAAGTTAGACATTATGATGTTCCGGACCTTTGCTTGAGGAAATTTTCTCTAACTGGACCTTATTGAATTTTAATTAAATACCCCTGCTCTAGATGTTGTAGAGCTGAAATGCTAGCAGAGCTGAGCTATGCTAAAATGAATCTTGAAGAGTGGCCATAAAATACAGTTATTATAACTCACTTTGGGATTTATGTGTACATGAACCTTGTTTAGAGTTGCTGACTTTACTGCATTTGTTGCTATGCAACTTGCCAGTCAACTTTTGCCCCGTTCATGAATGGATATACATCAACATAGGACCACTACTGGTTGGTGGACCTATCTCAATACAGCAGTTGTAGCAATATGGTAGAGTCATGGCAGTCTGTCTACCCAATAAACTGGAGACTCTGTGTATATTTTATGCGTTGCAGCATTTGAACATTAGACATTGATGATACAATCATGGTCTGACCTTTATAGGGTGTGTAAGAAGTGTAGAGCGATGCTCCTGCCTCTTTGTTTTTTTTTACAGCGATGAGATGGCCCTCGACCAACACCTTCTATGAAATTAAATACTTTGTTCCAACACACAGTATGTTGGGTTCATTGCTTCATTGTAATCATTGCTTTATTCTATTTTGTGTTTAATGTGTTCTCCTAGGCGATTGTGTTGGAGGGAAGTTACTGGAAGAGACGGATAGAAGTGGTGATAAAAGAGTATCACAAGTGGAGGATCTACTACAAGAAGAGGGTGAGTGGTACCTAAGAGGGACCAATAGTTGCATACTTTCGATATTGTAATGACAGCATTTTAAGTGTCATGTGTATTATGTGCATATAAGAATCAGAAGACTAATCTAAAATGATTTTATTCTCTGTTTCCACTTTAGAAGCACAAAGATCTAATGCCAGTTCTTCAGAAGGTAAGACGTAAAGCAATGCTGGTAGCCTTCAAGATAAGTTTTTCCTCAGTTCTTATGTAGTTTTTTCAGTGACTAGCAGTAGGGGTGCACAACACCTGGTGATTTCCTGCTCAGACCCTCCTATTTCAACTCATCTGTCAATTGCCAGGTTCAGTGGGTGTTATGCACCCCTGGATTAAGGGAAGATTTTGGGTAGGACAGTTGGTCTTGGATCACAATGGAAGGTCAACTTCTTCACAAAGGAAGAATGCTTTTTCTTCTATCTTTCTTCTCAGTGTAAACAGAAATAAGAATAACAGAACCAACTGTCTCAAGGATTAATCATTAAAATAATACTTTGGCAAAACAAATCAAAGTTACACAATTCTCTCCTTACCCCAAATGTAGTCAATCAGCCAAAATATGTTTGGCATAGATGTAATTTCCATGTATGGGGTTACAATCCAGTATTACAGATACTGATATAAATAATTTTGACCAAAATATTTGTGATGCTTGAACCTTAAGTTGTAGAAAAGTCGCAATTTAAATCAAAGAGTTTAATTCCAAAATGCTGTAACAATTTTGGATATAAAGAGAGATTTGAGAAAAATAACAGCTGACATATAAAGCAAAACACATATTTAGTTATGTATGAAAAGTGATATTGATCATAATATAGCATTAATATATATGTAAAGCCGACTCCCAGTAATGAATCATGAAACAAAAGAAAATTCATGAAAGTGGTCTTTAATGTGCTTTGGAATTAAACCCTTCAATTGCAGTCAGAAGAACAGCAATTAGATATTTTCCCCAAAACTTTCAGCCCTACTTATAAGAGGATTGGTTCTCTGTGTTTGACCATCTACTAAAACGATTGCATATCGAGGCTGGAATGCATGTGATGAAATTAGACTGTTTTTTTATATACTTCTAAAAATGTTTAGTAGCTTAAGTTTGCTTCTTTAGTTTTGTGCCAGAGCTACATGGCTAATGTTGCTAGCAAGTAATGAAAGCTTATACTCACCAATTACCGTGATGCACACAACCCACTTAAATCCGCACACACTTCCCTTAACCAGTGTTGAGCTGTTCGGTAATCTCAAACAGACTTGCTTTTGTGGTTTGTGACACTGTGTAACACATTGTTATCTATACAAATGGGCAAAAGTACAGACAACATTCTGGCGTAAAGATGGCCACTAGTACTAATTTTATCTTGTGTTGTACTTTTGTCCATTTTTCTAGATAACAGCATCTCATACAGTGTCGAAGCTGCCCAAAATGCAAGTCTGTTTGACATTACTTGACAAATTAAAAGATGCGTGATTATTTTAGGCATGCAGTTTGCATCATGCTGATTGGTTGATTTAAGCTTATCTTGGCTAATCGACTATATTTGACTGAACTACAGCTTTAAGTCATTGAAGCTGTGCAAAACATTATATCATACAGTCAATTCCAGAATTGTTGGAAGCTTCATGAAAATGTGCTAAAATCTAGTAAACCACACATGCAGTGAGTGATATTTTGGACTTTACACTGTGTTTTGGAAACCCCCAAAATTTTTCTTTAATAAGAATTTTTTTTAAAACGCGTTTCAAAAATATTGATTGAGAGGGCCATTACAAAACTGTTGTTTCTGTTGTTGTTCCCTTGTTGTTGAACCTTTTCTCTGTGGATTTTGATGTGTGTTTGGGATCATTGTGTTGCTAAAGGATCCAGATTTCAACCTTCTGGACAGATTTTGGGCTAAAACCTGCTGGTATTTAGTGGAAGTCATTATGCCATTGATTTCCACAAAAGCCCTTCAAACACTAGCAGCAGAAAAAAAAGCACCAGTGATCCACCACCATATATATATGACAGCGAGTGTCAGGTGCTTTTTTTATTGTACGCAGTCCCTTTTTTCACCAAATGTGATGTTGGGGAGCATGACCGAAAACGTATATTTTTGTCTCATCTGACCACATCACACAATTCCATTTGTGGTTCCAGCGACATTTTGCAAAGGTCAGGCGCTGCATTTTGTGGCTTTTAGGAAAGGCTTCTTCTGTGGAATTCTTCCAAACAGCTTGTGGTCATAGAGGTGGTGTCTTACCAAGACAGTGGATTTTGAAATTTGAAACCCCCAAAATTCAACTAAATGGTGCAAATCTGAAAGTGTGATCTTTGGGTTCCTTTTTGCCTCTTTTACCATCCTCACTGTGCACGGCGGTAGTGCTCATGCGTCCTCTTCTTGGCAAATTTTCAACCGTTCCTGTTCAACTGTTCTTTTCTAATTTTTTAATTATCGCCCTGATTGTGCTTAACGGTAATTTCACCTGACTGCTAAATTTTGCCATTTCCTAGTCTGTGCAGGTCCACAACACTTTGTCTCATTTGAGATGACAGCTCTTTGGTTTTATGTAAGTCAATGGATAACAAGGGGATTTTACATGTGTGTAACCTCATATTTATACCCCAGGTAAACAGGAAATGGTTATAGACAACAGTGCAGTTCCTGGAGACTGGAAGCAATAAAAGACACCCCCCAATATGCAAATGTCTTTGGTTTTATCCAAAATATTCTTTAGGGATGCCAATATATTTGCCCCTTATATTTTTGAAAGAATACAGTATTCTTGTTATAACACTCATGTAGGGATTATTTCTATTAGATAAATGTTAAGCAATTTTGCCAAACGACAATCTCTCATTATATGATTGTTTATGCCCAGTTTCTTGAGGAGGAGTTGACTGCATATTAAAAGCTCCAGTGGGACACTTGAGGGCAATCAGTCAGTGTTTGACAGCCCTCTCATCCTCCGCCTCTGGATCCACGAGCGGCTCTCTAGATCAATGACCTTACAGTATTGTATTTGCTTTAGTAGGTTAGCAGCACAGTCCGTATTTGCAGTGGTCCTCTGGTTAGCTATTAATAGGTCAGGCTTTGCCTTGCTCAGCTGGACAGAGAAACAGAGTGTGTGATCCTTTGAAAGAGCAAAAGGAAGATGAAAAAAAGCCATGAAACCTAAACACAATACTCTACTTGCGTCACGGCAGCCCATATCAGTGAGAAGTGAGTCACTCGATTGCCTTCGATGACAAAAGAGCCAATCTAAAGGGTCTCTATTGCGCCTGGCTCTCGCAGAGATGCGGATTCACTTTTAAAATAATTTAATCAAAGCTGACCCACTTGCGCATAATGCGAGCCCATGGCCCTTTGCACGTTTTTGTTCTCCATCTGTGTGGATATAAACTTGATAGTCTGAAAATGGCACCTCAGTAAGAAAACACTAACAAGATACACACTTTCTCAATGCATACAGTATGCGCTGTGTTTGGAGTTCCGGGGGAACTCTTTCGCGGTGATGCACATGCAGGTGTTAAAGGTGTTTTACCTCTGTACCTCACGTGCATGCACCGAATCTCTTTTAAATCTACTGTCTGTTTTTCATTCTCTGTTTTTTATCTTGTTTTTTCTTCCTCTACTCGTCCAGTTTTGCTGTTGAGATGCTTTTCCTGCTGAGCAAAGCAGCTTAGACCAGAATAAATTCCATGCTGCTCTAAGCTTGTTTATGCTGGTCAGTGTTGGTTTAGCTGGTCACCCAGCATGATCATACTGCTGCTGACCAAAAATACCAGCATCCAAAACACAACATATTGTCGCTGTCCAAAGTAAGCAAGTATCTCCAAAATGGTAACTTTACAGGAGAAGCCAAAACATTCTTTACTTTCAATTAGTGTAAAGAGGTTTTATTCCAAGTCATTTTTAAGCATTTTGATTGGTTGAATCATCACAAAATTTTCACACAGTGTAAAGAGTAGCAGCTGTGCTCAAATGAGATAGAAAAATAAAAAAACAAAAGAATAGAGAATTTTTTTTTGGATAGTAATGATATGCTGATGTGGGTCTACGCTTTTTTTCTAGCAGGTTTTTTTCTGGCTTTTTACCATGAAACTTTCATGCAACTAGTTGAGGTTTGTAAGATTTCTGTGCAACTTGACAGTTACACAAAGCATGCAACACATTCAGTTATTTCACCAGATTTCAGGCAAATTTTAGCAGCTCATACTTGTGATACACCGTATCAAAGTGATCCACGAGGTGTTACTTACATATTTGCAGCATTTTTATCATCTTCTGTTTTTTCCAGCTGTCATTGTGAGTGTTTTGTCTATCTGTCTAGGTTTCTTTACTATATATATGAGGCCTTTATCTGTTGTGTGTTATGTGTATGTATTGAAAATGAATGTTTAAGTAGCCATTTCAGTTACAGCTTACTTGATGGTTTGCTCATCCTTTCCTAGAAGCACAGTAAGTTCATTGTAGACTGCATCTCACTGTCCTCTACCATGTCAAAAAAAAAGGAACTAAGCAGGTACAGTTTTCATTCATCAAGGTACAAACATCGTAAATGTACCCACAACAGTGGTTTTAAGGTCCAGCTGTGTACCTTAAATAAGTTTTTCCCAGGGGAAAGGCACATGTTTGTACCTCTTCATAACCTAATGTTTAAAGACAGAACAATAAAGTAAAAAGCCTGGAGTGCAGACAAGGTGTGTGGAGTCAATACAACTTTAAAAGATTTAATTTCAATGTAATGTGGTACAACTATGTTTCCTAACTTAAAGTCCTGCAGATGTACCCTTAAGGATACCAGCCCGGTGACAAGGGGGGAAACCACCCCTGTGATAGTTTGGTACCTTTTTATCTGAGAGTGTCCTCTAATAATTTTCATTAATGTAAATCTGAGTTCTGTGGAAAATTAGGGGCGTCAAGAGAGAAGAAAATAAAACTAAGTACATAAATCACGATAACAGCTGGTTAGAAAAATAAATGCTGGCACAAGCAGCCGTTTAAACTGCTGTTAGCATTGGCTGGCTGGTTGACGCAGAAACGTTAGCTTCGAGAAACTCATGTTTGTTGTCATGACTCAGGAAAATGACAAAATGAAAAAGAGTTAGTTGGTGGGATCTCCTTTTCAACCGCCCAATAAACCATCTTCTATTTTACATTCCTGTCCACTTATCCA